TCAGTGCTGGTGAGTGTGGGGTTTGCTCCCCGTAACCTCACACTCACCAGCACTGATGATGTTACCTAGCTGGGTAATGAAATGTCTGTAAGCAAACAACCAAGCTCAGAGAGCACCAAGGACTCCACAGTTCAGCCTTTATATGTCAACTTATACTCTGCTGCCCTCTGGACATGATGCTTTTTTTCCACACTGCATTGCAGTGTAAAATGTTTAGCAACTTCCTCAGTGGTTGTTTTATGCATGTAAAATATTTGTACCCATAAGTTTTCTTTTAAATCTCTGTATTGCTAACTGCCAGCTTCATTTTCCACAAAATCAGAGAAGTTACAGGGGCTACGCTACAGAGTTGATAGTATAATCTTATCCATCTCTACTCAAAAATAAATCCCATTTAATTCCATGGGAGGTACTTTCAGGCATATAGGTATGAGCTTCCCCTGAATGAAAAAGCACTGGGAATTACAATGTGGTTTGTTTGATTGAATTATTTAAAAAAAAAATAGAAACAACACATGGTGAAAACCAAGAGTCTTTTCTCCAGCAACAGAAAACAAGGCAACTGATTTTACTATTTTATTTATTACATGTACATCTTGGGCTTGTTGCTGGTTATACTTAATTACAGTACCAATATATCTGGCAAACTTTTTTTTAATGTCCCTATAACATTGCCTTGATTTCATGGTGAACATGAATGCATGTTCACCAAAGGTTGACAAATATTTGGGTGGGGGATCAACAGGACATTTTCATTCTTGTATACCTCTCTCCAGAAAGCTGTGTGAGAGATGGATAAATATTATGAAAGACGTTTAAAGATTTCTGTGCTGATGCCTAAAAATTGTTGCATTTTTTTAAAGGTAACGTGCATTATAGTGAAGAAAGCACAATCAACAATACAGCACATAGTATTTATATTTCTTGGAAGCCTCAAAGCAAGTTCAATCAGTATGTTGTTGACTGGTGCAACCAGCCCAAAAATCACCCATGTGATTTTCAGTGGATGAAGTTTGGGCAAAATGACTCCAATGCTTTCATTACATCTGGTAAGAAGAATTTAAGTTTGTTAGTGAATAATTCCTGAAGAGATCATTGCTTTCTGGTCGTTAGAGATACTATAACAATGAATTCTTCTTTAAATCAAGTTTGAGTGACTTTATGGACAAACCTGTATAACTTCCTTGGCAGCAATATAGAAATGATTAGCCATTGCTTTCTTCCGGAATATTTTTGCAACTTCTCAGTCACTGTGAGGTTTTCTGGTGGTCTCCTATCCAAGTAATAACCAAGACTGACCTGTTTAGATGTTTAATGAAAGCAATGTAATATTTGCAAGGCTAGGTTGAGAAATATGCAAGGATGTTGCTATTTCCTGCAGCCTGGATGTTCAGCTCTCCACTTCATTCCAACATTCAAGTCCACAGAGTAGTGTCTTGCATGAGGAGGAGAAGGAAGTGTCCTTCCAAAAATGGATGGTAGGATGGTGGTCTAGTCTCATCATGCTCCTTTCCTCAGTAAGGGCTCTGTTGCCAAAAAGATCCTGGGTGGAAGGTAGACTATCCCCTCAGGACTAAGTTTTGGAGAAACAGGTTCTTCTTCTACCCAAGAATTTAAATGGAGACCCCACAAGGTCAACAGAAAAAAAAACTGTTTTCCCTTTTCAGTGTGAAATCACTTTCTGTCACTTTCAAGCTTTTGTAATTAACCACACTTTCATGGCAGCCATTTTGTGTCTAGTTTCTCATCTCATGACAACTATATTTGTGGTACAGCCCATGAATTTGAAAAGAAAAATTGTGTCAGAAGCTAACATTTTCCAATTTTCCCTAACATTATCACTAGCTTCCACTAGTAACTGCAAATACTTCTTTTCATAGCATTATCCTTAGCATTTTACCTAGATTTTTTAAAAAAAATTGGGATCAAATAAATATAAGTATTGTGAAATCCCACGGGGGGAAAAAAAAAGAGTGAAGACCACTTTGGAAATTTTCATGTATTTAATGGTTACAAGAGAGATAAATGATGAAAAGTTATTTTTTTCCTTTGAAATTCACATTACTGGCATTTATTTGAACATTACCACTCTAAAGAAGTTTTTAAAAATAAACAGTGTGCAAACTGTATAAAATGATGCTGTGTATGTTCAGCAGTGGAGCAGGCACGGTTCCTTCTTTTTCAGTCAACTATTAGATTGTGTTTATGAGTATGAATGGAGTGTGTAAGTAGCATAGTGAAATCAGTGAATCATGGTATATATATATATATATATTTGGAAATGAATTTGGAAATATGTGGGAGAATTGAAGAGGGAAAGGACAGGGATTTTATACTGTATATACAATGCACACTTGTGAATGTAAAGAGATCTTAACTATTCCCATTCTTGTTCATTGCAGTAATTCATAATAAAAAGCTTTTTAAATGTTGTAAATGCAGTCTTATTTTATATTCCTAACTCTTCATTCTTGCTGGAATGTTTCTTGAAATGTATTTCAGATGCCTTCAAACCTGGGATAAGATACACTTTTAGTGTGTATGGAATGGAAGGTGATAAAAGTTATTTACTTGAAAAGAAGGTTAAATACCTTGAAGAACGGGGTAAGTTATGCTAAAATTGTATGTCTATCCAACAACTAAATTAGACTATGACTGCAATCTGTTATGAACATGTATACCACATAGCCTCTGCACCAATCCTGAATTAGCTTCACGCTTTTGTCCTACTGTTGTCTGTGTTCAGCAGCTGATTTAATTTATTATGCAATCTTTCTCTTTGCAGCAATGGAGCTCTGAAGAGCTTGTGGGTAATCTGTTTCCTCCTGGTGGGAACCCTTGTCTGCCTCCCAGTTCCTGGGTTTCAGCTAACACAGGATTCTGTTCACAGACCCTTAAAAGGGAAAGGTGGCTGAACAGTTGCTCAGGTCCTTGTTCTCAGTACCGGCTCAGATTATTTTTGCATATGGCAAGACAGATGTGCACCATTCTTAAAGATGTATTTCAGGGTTGATCTCGACTGGCTATTGTAGATGCTTACAGTGGTTCCTATCTGCCCAGTAGTCCAGATGGTGTGAGTAAGATGAAATGGATAAGCGTCTTGTTGTTTCTCCTTCTTCTTAGCAGGGGACTAGTTGGATGCAAAATGCCAGGCTGCTACTTGGGTTTCTTTAAAGGAATTGCATCATGGATGGTGGTGGAATGCTAACAATGTCTTCTTGTGTATTAGCCGACACTGTATTAATTCTCACTGTGTTCAGTGGGATAGATTTTTGTTGATCCAGGACTATCTGTTTGTCTCCCCCTCCCTCCACAACAACTTCCAACATCCTGTTCCTGGTGCTTGTCTAAAGACATTGCTTGTTACTTGTTACTTTCTCTTCCCAACTTCAGCTGTAGCTTACCCAAGTGGTTAGAGGTATTAGAAACCAGGTTAGTTTTGTCTGGTTGCAAAATTAATGCCATGACATCATACCATCTTCACAGCTGTCCATGCGAAGATCTCCAGTATAGGGAATTGGGCTGGGGAATTCTGGAAGTTGAAGTCCACACATCTTAAAGTTGCCAAGTTTGAAAAACACTGATTTAGGGTGTTTCCTGCCTGTTTTCTACATGCTGGGTTGGCAGATATAAAAATGCTCCCTGACTCCAAAACTGTTTAGAGGGATTGAGGAATGCCATAACAGGTTTACTCCCCTCTTGGAAGGGAGATATTGTGGCCTCCCAGCCACTGACATACTTTTGACACAAAGTTGTGGGTCCAGATTGAAATGCCCTCCTGTTCGTACTGGCATAACTTCCTTCGTTAGTGGTGTTTGCAAACTAACAGACCATTCTGGCATAACAGTTTCATTTACATGATCATTAATCATGTCACAAACTTTAATTATTAAATGTGTTAATTAAAGCTGCTCAATACATGGATTTTTTTTAGGTTTTATCAAGCTGTATATTTCTTCCCATATTTTTTCTCATGATGGTCCAGGTCCCAACTTTAAGTGAAGTCATAATCACAAAACTTTAGTCTCAGCACAGCTGCTCCATGCTTAGGTAGGGTGGCCAGATACAGAACAGCAAGGAAGATTAAAAACTAGGAGAAATCCTGAGACTTAATATTAACAATGCATGTACAGTATGTGATAGGGAAGATGATAGGTGGAAATAACTGCTATACAGTTGTGTAGCTAATCAGCAGGGTCTGATCAGCAGACCTTAATCAGCAAAGTTAGCTTAGTTCAATCCTTATCCTCAAGATTTGTAATGGTCAACTGCAGTCTTGCACTGACAGGAAATGGAAATTTAACGTAAAGCTTAAGGATTAGAACTACAGCAAACACATAGTAAATGTTGACAACTTCCTGTTTTCCAGAACCGAAACAATACCTCTCATTTAAAACAGTTACAGTAACTGCAAATTCATTAACAGTAACTTGGAAACGTTATGATCAAGAATTCAACTCTGGTTTTATTAGAGGTTACATATTTTACATGAAAATGAAGAATCAAAGCTGTGTCACCAAAGGATTAGAACTATTTAAACATGCAGGTAATTGGTCATGGTAATTCAGAATAATGTATCTTTAAGTGAGATATGAGTATTATTTAGGAATTGATAGAGTGTCCTCCTAAGCACAGAAGAAGATGAAACACATTCCAGAAATCTTTTTTTTTCATAAATAAATGAAGGTAATCCAAGAGAAAAAACATAAATAGGAAATTGAATGTTCCTGACAGGACCTCAAGGTCTAGAGCAGTGTTTCTCAACCTCAGCAACTTTAAGTTGTGTGGATGTCTGGCTAGGGAATTCTGGGAGTTGAAATCCACACATCTTAAAGTTGCTAAGGCTGAAGAACACTGCTCTAGAGAGTTGCAATGGAGGAAAAGCTGTGTGGAGAAACCAGAAGTAAACTCTGATTTTGAAATGGGTCCTATATACTCTGCACTTGGTTTTCACTGAATATCTCCATCTTATGAAGGTTGGTGTGTCTTTCTCTTCAAGCTGACTGACATAGGCTTTTCTTTATTTTCAACTTTACATTTCTTTTTAAAACTACCTTAGTTGATGTCCTGTTTATAAGCAGTTGCCTTGTTTAGCTTCTACTGATTAGGCTACAGTTGGAGATTGCAAATGTGCTCGGTTCAGGCATTGTGCTAAGCCAGTTTTTAAAGCCATTGAAGAAGTGATAATGGAGGAGAGGGCGGAGCTGGCGTTGCGGCGATACGGCGGGGGTTCCGGGGCTCCCGGGATCGCAGCTGATATCTCCTCCCCTGGACGATCCCGATGGACCTAAGCCGTCCCGAAGAGATGGCGATCGTAAAGGGCGCATCCCGC